ATTTGTAGGTAGGTATTTTGAATAATGAAGCAACGGTAATTTTCAAGTAATTAATAAATCTTATTGGCATACAAAGGTCACATTTCCTTCTAGACATACGACTTCATGACTTATTGAAGCCGTCCACGTACGACTTTAAAGATGGATTAGTTTAGAGGAAAGTCAATAGTAAGCTATTTGACAAAATATACATACTATTTGCTGCATGCATTCTCATTGTATTGTTACCATAAAGAAAGATGCATCATTGTTATAAAACTAAGGATGAAATATTTTTGAAAATAGTGATTTATCGTAATTTAACTTAGAGAGTCTAATAATTGTTTCTCGTTTTTTTTTTTTTTTTTACATCAGTCACAACTCATGTAACACTTGAGAGTATGTTTGAGACCTTTTGTTCCTAAAATGAGTTTTATAATTGTGTTTTTTTTTTAGAATGTGATTAAAAAGTAGAAAAAATTTTTAGGTTTACGTGCAAAATTATTTTATTGTAAAACCGTATGATTGAAAATAAATTTGGAAAAAAATGAATTATTAGATAACGAGGTCAAATGGGACTTAATATATTAAAATTACTATTATTGGAAATTAATGATCAGCATTCCCTATGAAATTGAAAATAAATTTGGGAAAAAATGAATTATTAGATAACGAGGTCAAACGGGACTTAATATATTAAAACCAATATTATTCAAAATTAATGATCATCATTCCCTATGAAATACAGGTGCAAAATAAGTTAATACCCACTTGGTGTTGACTGTCTCCTAATGCACATGTATGTGCATTGTATTTCACCTTCATACTACTGTTATTTTAGTGAATAGCCTAATAAACGATTAAGTTATCTAATCAAATATGAGTAAATTCCAAGATTAGCTAGGCCACGCATATTTTTGTACAAATAGTTTTCTTACTATAACTTCGCTGTATACCACAAGTATTTGTAAAATTACTAGGTTTGAGCAACGTGCAATACACGTTTGCTNATTTGTAGGTAGGTATTTTGAATAAGGAAGCAACGGTAATTGTCAAGTAATTAATAAATCTTATTGGCATACAAAGGTCACATTTCCTTCTAGACATACGACTTCATGACTTATTGAAGCCGTCCACGTACGACTTTAAAGGTGGATTAGTTTAGAGGAAAGTCAATAGTAAGCTACTTGACAAAATATAGATAACTATTTGCTGCATGCATTCTCATTGTATTGTTACCATAAAGAAAGATGCATCATTGTTATAAAACTAAGGATGAAATATTTTTGAAAATAGTGATTTAACTTGGAGCTCGTTTTTTTTATTGGCAGCGACGTCGTTTTTGCCGGGGGAGTTCACCTGGATAACGATTTTGCTTATATCCGCTATTATGGCTTTTTATAAGTAACCATTATGAACTTGCTTATCCAATAATCACTTGAGTATTTAGGGGTGTGAGACTTTGATCGAACTACTCCATAAATTCTTGTGTACAAAATTCATATTGTATTAATAATTCGAGCATTGGTTTTGTATAATAAATAATAAGTATAATAGTTACATGTGTTTGTCGAGTCTCTTTTACAATTTTTTTTTTACGCGTGATTAAGTTCTATATATATTTTTTAAAAAAAATTAATGGCTACAAGTTAATGGTACTCAACCGAACGCAGAAATATTATTTATCTCCATTTATAAAAATTCTGAAACGATCTCATATTGAATTTCATCATCTATCGATTATAGAGACATTCCACAAATATACTTATTCGAAGAGAAATAATGGAATAGAAACAAACGTGACGTTTTTTTTTCCTTGATACCTAACATAATGTATGAAAGGATTCTTGAATGATTATATATTAGTCTGAAAATCATTAACAAATATCACTATGATTGACTCAATTCACGTTCCTTTCGTGGTTTCTGTGGCATGTTGAATTATTAATGTGAACATAATGCGTCACTTTTTCGAATTTTCGGCATTTTTTTTTATTTTAATTTTTGTAGTTTTTTTTAAATTTTTTTTCACTTTTTAAGATTTTGATGGATGTTTTGTCACTTTTTTGAGGTTTTGTTCATTTTTGAGTTCATGTTACTTTCTAGTATTTGTCACTTTTTTACATTTACATCACTTTTTTTGAAAGTTATGTCACTCTTTTGAATGAAAAATATCAATTTTTAATAAAAGTGATTTGTACGACACTTTTTTCACTTAACTCTATATAATATTTTTTACTTCTAATTTTTTTTATATGATTAATGGGTTGGCTGAGTTGGTAGATGATGGTGGCGGTGAATTGACTTAAAAATGTTTGGCGGTGAACGGGGAAAAAATAAGGACGGTGGTTGTTTCTTTTCTTTTTTTTTTATTATTTTATTTTTTCCCTTTATTGAACCGATTACAATGTTTTAATTGGCGTTTTGTCACATTTTTGAATTTGTTGCTTTTTGAGTGGTCACTTTTTTGAATTTCCGTCAAATTTTTAGCGTGTCACTTTCGTTAATTTTTTGTCGATTTTTTAGTGACAGGCATCACTTTATAAATGTCACTTTTATTATAAAGTGATAAATAAAAAAGTGACACTGTGTCGGTTTTTAATAAAAAAAAAGGTGACTTTTAATTTTACACAATATTTTTTACTTTCAAAATACTTTTCACATGATTTTTCAAAATACCTCTAATTTTAGGAATATTTTTGCAAGTTATCCGGAAAGGGAAAATCACATAAAATTAACCCACATATTTTTTTTTTCCCATAAAATAAATTATACCCCCTCTTTTATCTTATTAAAAAATACCTCTAATTTTGGGAATATTTTTGCTAGTTATCCGGAAAGATAAAATCACGGAAAATTAACCCACAATTTTTTCCCATAAAATAAATTATGCCCCCTCTTTTATCTTATTAATATTTACATACTTAAAATATACTTAATGAAAAACACCTAATTTTACATTGTATAAATATTTGACAAACCTTAATACTAATTTAAATACTCACTAATATTTGTCATCTATCATTTTCAAAAAATCACTATTCCAAAACTTATTTTCTCAAACACCTTACATGCATCAATTGAATTGATTCAAAATTAATTTTTTATATGTATTAACGTAAAATAAAGTTTTAATTCATATATTTAAACTTTCAAAAACGTACATGTAAGCATCTGTGTCATTTTTTCACATTCTCATTTTCGCAAACATCTTGAATTCACAAATTAAATTGATTCAAAGTTAATTTTTCATAGGTATTAACGTAAAATGAGTTTTGAATTCATATAATTAAAATTTCAAATTGCACACGTATGTATTTAATTAATTACTCTAATGAAATACTGTGAATTTTTTTAGAGAAAAAGTGACAGAATGTAATTTTTTCACTCTCTCATTTCGCAAACATCTCGCATCTATCAATTAAATTGATTCGAATTTAATATTTCTTATGTGTTTAAATAAAACAAGGTTTGAATCCATATATTTAAAATTTTAAAAACGTACATGTATACATCTATTTAATTGTTCTAATGAGACACTGTGACTTTTTAGAGAAAACTGATAGAATGTCACTTTTTTCACTTTCTCATTTTCACAAACACTTTGTATGCATCAATTGAATTGATTCGAAGTTAATTTTTCTTGTGTATTGACGTGAAATAAGGTTTAAATTCATACATTTAAATTTTAAAAAATGCACATGTATGCATCTAGTTAATTGTTCCAATGAGATAATGTATTTTTTTTTTTAAAGTGATAGAATGTCACTTTTTCACATTCTCATTCTTGCACACACTTTGCATGCATAAATTAAATTTCTCGCAAACACATACGTATACTTTTAGTCAATTGCTCTGAGAAAAGTGAGAAAATATTACTTTTTCACGAATACATTGTATGCATCAAATGGATTGATTGAAAGTTGATTATTTTTTTTGAATTCGTGTCATTTTTTAGTGTATGTCACTTTTTTTTTTTATTTCTTTTTGTTGGATTGGGATTTAATAATCCTCAACAGTATTAGTTTAAATGGAAAGTCACGTTCTATATTTTGCACTATATAATAACGAACTTAAATGGAAAGTTTAGTCAATATTAGAGAATTTTAAAAAGGGACATAGCATGTCACTTTTCTCATTCTAATATTAGGGTGCATTTGATTGCAAAGGTGAAAACTTGGTGGAAAGAAAATATTTTACAGGGAAAAGATTTGCCTAGAAAATATTTTGCATGGAAAATGATTTCCAGTGTGTTTGATTGGTATAATTTTTCACCCGAAAAAATTTTTAAATTTT